GTCAGGGTCCTGTCAGGGTCCAGGTCCTGTCAGGGTCCTGTCAGGGTCCAGGTCCTGTCAGGGTCCAGGTCCTGTCAGGGTCCAGGCCCTGTCAGGGTCCAGGTCCTGTCAGGGTCCTGTCAGGGTCCAGGTCTTCATCAGGCTCTAAAAATCTTTCATCTAAATTCAAGTAAACAAAAACAGATTCCAGTGTTTGTTGTTGTTGTTTGTTGTTGTTGTCGTTGTTGTTGTCGTTGTTGTTTGTTGTCGTTGTTGTTGTTGTTGTTGATGTTGTTGCTGTTGTTGATGCTGTTGTTGTCGTTGTTGTTGTTGTCGTTGTTGATGCTGTTGTTGTTGTTGTTGTTGTTGTTGTTGTTGTCGTTGTTGATGCTGTTGTTGTTGTTTACTAAACAAAACATCTAATTATACCTGGAAGTCCTGCACCAGGATCAGAGTCCAGTGTGAACATCAAAAAGAATCTGGATGAGTTCTTTACGTCTCGTCTCTCCTCCAGGAGACTTCTTCAGTCTGAGAGTTTCAGGTGAACTCAGTCTTATAAGCTCCGCCTCCACCTGGACAAACAGGTAGTCAGTTTGAGAGAGGAGTAAAGTTCTTCCATCTTTGTGAAGAAAAACCGTCCACCATTAAACAGAGGTGGAGGCCTTCGTGTCCAGTTGTCCTCCTCCTCCAACGCTGTTATTGCAGGTATGACTCCGCCCCCTGTGAGCAGAAGGTGTGAATCAGGACCAACGACACCAACACACAGAGGGACAAAACAAAAACAAGGAGACTTTAAGCCCCGCCTGCATTCACTGCATACACAACATGACACAGGTCAGGTGATGGGTCACATGACCCTCTATGAACAATAGAGTTAATCAAGCCTATTGTTAGGTGATGGTCCTCTTTTACATGTGACTAACCTGTTTGTCCATGTGGAGGCGGAGCTTATAAGACTGAGTTCACCTGAAACTCAGACTGAAGAAGTCTCTTGGAGGAGAGACGAGACGTAAAGAAGAACCATCCAGAGGACCTGCTGATGTTTTACCTGGACTGAGCTGCACCAGGACATCCAGTCTGACCAATTCCTCGTAGAGTAAACAGCGCCACCTGCTGGAGGCAAGCTGAAATTAATTAAATTATAACAAGGCCCTACTTTGACTTTGTTTACAAAAATAACAGCTGTTGAGGAGTGAGATAAATAATTTATCCCATTAATGTGTACAGATCTGGTTTTAAACATGAATAAATCAGGTGGTTTAAGTACAGATTGTTTAATTTGTCAGATTATTTAAGTATGTTTTGTTTTTGTTTTGTTAGCGGAGATAAACTTCTGCAGGAAGATGATTTGTTATTTTGCTAATGAGTGAGGAGGTGATGAACACCTACAGAGGCGCTTCCTCCTTCAGCCTGCAGGGGCGGGACTCTGCCGGCAGGGGGAGCGCTCACAGCGACTGTTCAACCAAAGATCGTCTGTTACATGTCACATGGTTCACTCCTTGATCTGAAGGCAATCATCAATTGCAAGAGCTACATGTTACCACAGAAACCACTTAAACGCTTTGGTAATAAATGTACATCAGAGTGACATACAAAATAAATGTTTAAACTATATTTGGGTTCTTGTTTTTGTTAATAATCACATTAAAACTGGTAAATGGTTGTCATATTTTGGAGAAAATTAGACATTTTTTAATAAAAATCTCTAAAAACGAAAAAAATATTAAACCACAAGAAAACATAAAATGACTGGGATTGGGTCACAAAGTGTCGAAATGTGGAACAAAATGTGATCAAAGTGATCCCCAACATGCTGGAAGGGACATGAAGCCAGTTGACAGAAAACGGTCCGCAAAATAAGGTTCAGAGTGAGACGTCTTCGTTTTCCGCCCCTCTCTGCTGAAAATCGTTCCACTACGTCAAGTCGTCCGGTCCGCTCGGCGAAGATGTCTGCGACGGGCTCAGGCGGACCCGGACCGGGACCCGGACCCAGCTCAGGGACCGGGTCCGGGGCCTCCAACCCCCGAAAGTTCAGCGAGAAGATCGCGCTGCACACCCAGCGGCAGGCCGAGGAGACGGCCGCCTTCCAGGAGGTGATGATGGACATCAGCTCGACCAGGGTGAGCGTGAGACGGCGGCAGGAGGAGGAGAGCTCCCCGGAGGAAGGGAGGCCTCTGCGGGGCTCCTTGACAACCGTGTCCCCCGTGTCTGTGTGGACCTCTGCCTCGGTTTAGATAATTTAAACAAAATAACAAGTTTTAACCCTGAAGAGGGACGTTTATGTTGCGTTTAGAGCCGCGGAGGTTGGCTTGTTGTTCGCTTCCGTCGTTAGTTAGCCGCTGTTAGCTCCGAGGCTAATTCCGCTTGTTTACGGTGACATGAGCGCGTCTGCCCGGCTGCTGGAGCCGGGGAAGAGCCGCCGAGCTCCGGGGAGATGACCGACCATCCCGGGGGGTTGGGGTGGGTCTTCTGTCAGACAAATATCTACTTGATGAGCGAGAAAATGACGTCATTATATCTTAACTGTGTGTTTTATAGATGAGCTCATCCAAACAGACCTGAGACCAGTCAGGGTCCACCTGTAGGTCCAAACAGACCTGAGATCTGTCAGGGTCCACCCGTAGGTCCAAACAGACCTGAGACCAGTCAGGGTCCACCTGTGTGTCCAAACAGACCTGAGACCAGTCAGGGTCCACCTGTAGGTCCAAACAGACCTGAGACCAGTCAGGGTCCACCTGTGGGTCCAAACAGACCAGAGACCAGTCAGGGTCCACCTGTGGGTCCAAACAGACCTGAGATCTGTCAGGGTCCACCTGTGGGTCCAAACAGACCTGAGA